TCAATTTACTAAAGCGTTGTGTATTATAAACTGCCTTTTTAAGTTAAAAATCTTATTATTATCTTTTGGTTCATATTCATGATACCGATTGCCTGTGGCCTCACTGCCCCCACATCCTGTCTACATGTTCCCCACTGATGACTACATGTCATTTCTTGGAGCAAAGGCGGGGGTCCTAATGGTGTCAACAGATTGCCATGCCTGCTGCAATGGCCACTTGAAGTCTCCATTGGAAGGCTGATTTACTCCTCCTACGAGTATGTGTACCCCCCAAAAATGTAAAAGAATATGATTCTACTTTAAAAATCAAAATGGAAGGATGACTGGATGGGTGGATGTATGGGATAGATGGGTGGTAGGATGGATGGATGGACGGATGGGTTGGTGATGGAATGAATGGATATGCAGATGCATGGGTACATGGGTGATTGGATGGGTGGCTGGGTGTTATGGATGGGTGGATGACTAAGTGGATGGATGGGTAGGTGGGTGGTTGGATAGATGGAAGGATGCATGGGTTGGTGGCTGGGTCAATGGATTGGTGGGTCATTGGGTGGATAGATGGAAGAACAAATGGGTTGATAAATGGTGGGATGGATGGGGTGGATGGATGGGTTGGTGGCTGGGTGGGTGGTTGGATGGAAAGAAGGACAGATGGGATGGTGGCTGGGTGGATAGGTGTGTAGTTGCATGGAAGGATGGATGGGTGAGTGGATGGGTAGGTTGGTGGTTTGATGAATGGATTTATGGACAGATGAGTTAGTTGTTGGGTGATTGGCTGGCTGGCTGGCTGGCTGATTGGGTGTTTTAGAAGATAATTGGGTAGATGGCTGCGTGGATGGATGGGTAGGTGGGTGGTTGGATAGATGGCAGGATTCATGGGTTGGTGGTTGTTATTGGAGTCAATGGATGGGTGGGTGGGTCATTGGTGGTTAGTTGGATGGATGGAAAAAAGGATGGATGAGCTGGTCGCTGGGTGGATAAAGGGGTGGGAGGTTGGATAGATGGAAGGATTCATGGGTTGGTGGTTGTCAATGGATGGGTGGGTGGTTGGATGGATGGAAGCAAAGAAGGATGGATGGGTTGGTGGCTGGGTGGATAAAGGGGTGGGTGGTTGGATATATGGAAGGATGGAAGGATGGATGGGTTGGTGTCTGGGTGGATGGATGGGTGGATGGATGGGTGAGTCATTGGGTGGATTGATGGATGGATGGGTGCGTAACTGGATGGATAGGTGGATGAATGGATGTCCCTTTGGTACATATATGTTTGCAGCTATGCAGCCAGGATCTTTGTGTGCCTATAAGCACTGCTGATGGGAACCTGGCCCTAAATAACATTCATATTCACTTTATTTGCACTCAATATATTTTGCAGGTAAGGATCAGCAATGTTGGGGCCTATACAGTGAAGGAAATGCATATTTGCTCCCCGGCTGATGTTGAATGTTCGCCCCTCACACAGAAATGATCGGTCTAACAATGGAATGTTCGGTGTAACACTGAGAGACAGAATACAACAACAAATTCAGCAGAAATGCGTCTAACAAATGATGACTGATCTGCATGTTCATGAGGGAAAGAAGGATTTGATCCCCTTCACAAAACATGATTTAGTACTTGGTTGCAAATCCCTTGTTGGCAATCACAGAGGTCAGAAATTTCCTGGAGTTGGCCCCCAGGTTCGCACACATCTCAGGAGGGATTTTGGCACACTCCTCTTGGCAGATCCTCTCCAAGTCATTAAGGTTTGGTGGCTGACATTTGACAACTCGAACTTTCAGCTTCCTCCACAGATTTTCAGTCGGATGAAGGTCTGGAGACTGGCTAGGCCACTCCAGGACCTTAATGTGCTTCTTCTTGAGCCGCTCCTTTGTTGCCTTGGCCGTGTGTTTTGGGTCATTGTCATGCTGGAACACCCATCCACGACCCATTTTCAATGCCCTGGCTGAGGGAAGAAGGTTCTCACCCAAGATTTGATGGTACATTGCCATGTTCATCGTCCCTTTGATGCGGTGCAGTTGTCCTGTCCCCTTAGAAGAAAAACACCCCCCAAGCAGAATGTTTCCACCACCATGTTTCACTGTTGGGATGGTGTTCTTGGGGTCATAGGCAGCATTCCTCCTCCTCCAAACACGGCGAGTTATGTTGATGCCAAAGAGCTTGATTTTGGTCTCATCTGACCACAACACTTCCCACCAGTCCTCCTCTGCATCATTCAGATGTTCAGTGGCAGACTTCAGACGGTCCTGGACATGTGCTTTCTTGAGCAGAGGGACCTTGCGGGCACTGCAGGATTTCAGTCCTTGTCAGCGTAGTGTGTTACCAATTGTTTTCTTGGTGACTGTGGTCCCAGCTGCCTGGAGATCATTGACAAGATCCTCACGTGTAGTTCTGGGATGATTCCTCACTGTTCTCATGATCATTGACACTCCACGAGGTGAGATCTTGCATGGTGCACCAGACCTAGGGAGACTGACACTTGTTTTTGTGTTTCTTCCATTTGTGAATGATTGCACCAACTGTTGTCACCTTCTCACCAAGCTGCTTGGCCATAGTTTGGTAGCCCAGTCCAGCCTTGTGTAGGTCTACAATCTTGTCCCTGACATCCTTGGACAGCTCTTTGGTCTTTGTCATGGTGGAGAGTTTGGAATCTGATGGTTTGATTGCTCCTGTGGACAGGTGTCTTTTATACAGGTAACACAATGAGATTAGCAGCACTCCCTTTAAGAGACTGCTTCTAATCTCAGCTTGTTACCTGTATGAAAGACACCTGGTAGCCAGAAATCCTGCTGAATGATAGGGGATCAAATCCTTCTTTCCCTCATGAACATGCAGATCAGTCATCATTTGTTAGACGCATTTCTGCTGAATTTGTTGTTGTATTCTGTCTCTCAGTGTTACAATACACCGAACATTCGATTGTTAGACCGATCATTTCTGTGTGAGGGGCGAACATTCAACATCAGCCGGGGAGCAAATACGCATTTCTTTCACTGTATATTTACACTGTTATACAAGCTGTACACTGACTACGTCACATTGTAGCCAAGTCTCATTTCTTCAGTGTTGTCACATGAAAAGATAGAATCAAATGTATACAAAACTGTGAGGGGGGGACTCACTTCTGGGAGATACTGTATATATAATCATTTCCCTTTTCTTCCTGCATTCCTGGGTTCTGAAACTGTTAATGTTTCTGTTGGTTTTATGGAATAAAAGATGAAATGAGCGCGTAGACAATGCACCCCAGATGGTCTCCGGTGATAGAAGCCCCCGGGGGGGTAAGTGGTTTTATTGAGTCTGCTCTCATTGTGTTTATTTGTGTTGTGCTCTAACCTCCAGTGCAGCGCACTGGGCGTGTGTGCGAATAAACAGAGGAGTCGCCGTCATCGGAATCGCTGCCAAATACAAGGGCCCCTCCGGCCACCGTGCCCGCGTCTATGGATCGGCTGCCAAACGGCAGATGGAGAGTGACAGGTCCAGCTTTATCACAAGGCACAGAGGCATTAATATTCATATACGATCCTTTACACCGCAGGCGGCACACACAAACCAAACACAAAAAATAATGTTCCTGTTTATCCAACTTACTTATTTTGTCCACAAATCATTAGGAGCAATTTTATATACTGCTGGTATGGTTACCTGAAACCTGCCATATATTAGCCTCCTGCAGGGGGGGGTGTTGGGGCTCATTCAGGGTCTGGAGAGAAGGATGAAGGCGGCAATGTGACGCTGGGAGGTGCACACATGTGGGTGCTGATTAGTGGTGTCACCCTTTGACACTTAGAAGCTCCTGTGTAATCAGGCATAAACCAGCTGACACTTTCTGGCACCTCTCTGTGGAAAATAGCTGACACTTTCTGGCACCTCTCTGTGGAAAATAGCTGACACTTTCTGGCACCTCTCTGTGGAAAACAGCTGACACTTTCTGGCACCTCTCTGTGGAAAACAGCTGACACTTTCTGGCACCTCTCTGTGGAAAATAGCTGACACTTTGTGAAAAATAGCTGACACTTTCTGGAACCTCTCTGTGGAAAATAGCTGGCAATTTCTGGTGCCTCTCTGTGAACAATGGCTGACACGTTCTGGTGTCTCTCAGTGGAAAATAGCTGACACTTTCTGGTGTCTCTCTGTGGAAAATAGCAGATGCATTCTGGCACCTTTCTGTGGAAAATAGCTGATGCTTTCTGGCACCTTTCTGTGGAAAACTGCTGACACTTTCTGGCACCTCTCTGTGGAAAATAGCTGACACTTTCTGGTGCCTCTCTGTGGAAAATAGCTGACACTTTCTGGTGCCTCTCTGTGGAAAATACCTGACACTTTCTGGTGTCTCTCTGTGGAAAATAGCTGATGCTTTCTGGCACCTTTCTGTGGAAAACTGCTGACACTTTCTGGCGCCTCTCTGTGGAAAATACCTGACACTTTCTGACGCCTCTTTGTGGAAAATAGCTGACACTTTCTGGCACCTCTCTGTGGATAATAGCTGACACTTTCTGGCTCCTTTCTGTGGAAAATAGCTGACACTTTCTGACGTCTCTTTGTGGAAAATAGCTGACACTTTCTGGCCCCCTCTGTGGATAATAGCTGACACTTTCTGGCTCCTTTCTATGGAAAATAGCTGACACTTTCTGGCCCCCCTCTTTGGAAAATAGCTGGCACTTTCTGTTGCCTCTCTGTGGAAAATAGCTGACACTTTATGGCCCCTCTCTGTGGAAAATAGCTGACACTTTCTGGCCCCTCTCTGTGGAAAATAGCTGACACTTTATGGTGCCTCTCTGTGGAAAATAGCTGACACTTTCTGGCCCCTCTCTGTGGAAAATACCTGACACTTTCTGGCGCCTCAGAGTGTCAGCTATTTTCCACAGAGAGACACCAGAAAGTGTCAGCTATTTTCCACAGAGAGGTTCCAGAAAGTGTCAGATATTTTTTTCTTCTTTAATAATAGTAATGGCAATGATCAGCGACTTATAGCGGGACTGCAGCGAGCATTCTGACACTGGGGGGGACTGACTTGGTGTCACTGACATCCCCAGTGACACCAACACAGTGATCAGAGCTAATAAAAAGCACTGACACTGTACTAATGGCACTGGGCAGGAAGGGGTTAACATCTGGGGCGATCAAAGGGTTAACTGTGTGCTGTGTTTGTGCTTCAACTGTAATCACACTGCTTTGTATGGCTGTGCTGTGCAGAGCCATGCAAAGCAGTGTGCAGGAGCTGAAAGGGGAGAGATCCGTATTATTTACATACAGTTCTCTCCCTCCGTCGGTAATGCTCTGCGATCACTGGGTGCCAGTGAGTAATTACCGGCCGGGACCTGCTGATTGACAGCCACAGCCGCAAAATGCAAAATCACATATATATATATATACACGATTTTGTGCACCGCAGCCGCCCTGTAGTAGTATTTCTGCTATAGGGTGGTTGGAAAGCGGTTAACATACTGTCACCGGTCAGTATCCCTGATCACCGCCACACCAGTTGTATAATGACACCGTACTGCACTGGTGACAGTATGTAAAAGACAAAGCGTGAAAAAAACACATTTTGATTCATTTGTTCATTTTCAAAAAAATGTCAAAACTTCAAAAAACTCGCCATACCTCTTATTAAATACCTTGAACTGCCTACTTTCCAAAAAAGGTGTCATTTGGGGGGTATTTGTAATGTGACCCGGTGTTTGACAGCCGAGACCGCGAGTAGCGGCACAGGTAGGGCCCGAGTGCCCCCTACCCAGAAATGCAAAATCATGTATATATACGTGATTTTGCATACTCCTGCCACCCTGTAGCAGTATATCTACTGTAGGTCAGTGGGAAAGCAGTTAAACAGCGATCTAATTAACAATAAACTAATCAACAGCCAGGCACCCAGCCCAGTCGGGGAGCCCACTCCAGACCAGCCGGGGAGCCCGCCCCAGACCAGCCGGGGAGCCCGCCCCAGACCAGCCGGGGAGCCCGCCCCAGACCAGCCGGGGAGCACTCCCCAGACCAACCACGGAGCCCACTCCAGACCAGCCAGGGAGCCCACTCCAGACCAGCCGGGGAGCCCACCCCAGACCAGCCGGGGAGCCCGCCCCAGTCCAGCCACGGAGCCCACTCCAGACCAGCCAGGGAGCCCACTCCAGACCAGCCGGGGAACCCACTCCAGACCAGCCGGGGAGCCCACTCCAGCCCAGTCGGGGAGCCCGCTCCAGGCCAGCCGGGGAGCCCGCCCCAGACCAGCCGGGGAGCCCTCCCCAGACCAGCCACGGAGCCCACTCCAGACCAGCCAGGGAGCCCACTCCAGACCAGCCGGGGAGCCCACCCCAGACCAGCTGGGGAGCCCGCCCCAGACCTGCCGGGGAGCCCTCCCCAGACTAGCCACGGAGCCCACTCCAGACCAGCCAGGGAGCCCACCCCAGACCATCCAGGGTGCCCACCCCAGACTAGCCAGGGAGGCCACCCGAGACCAGCCAGGGAGCCCACCCCAGACCATCCAGGGAGCCCACCTCAGACCAGACAGGGAGCCCACCCCAGACCAGCCAGGGATCCCACCGCAGACCAGCCAGAGATCCCAACCCAGACCAGCCAGGGAGCCCACCCCACACCAGCCAGGGAGACCACCCCAGACCGGCCAGGGAGCCCACCCCAGATCGGCCAGGGATCCCACCCGAGACCAGCCAGGGAGCCCAGCTAAGACCAGCCAAGGAGCCCAGCTAAGACCAGCCAGCGAGCCCACCCAAGACCAGCCAGGGAACCCACCGCAGACCACCCAAGGATACCATCCCAGACCAACCAGGGAGCCCACCCCAGACCATCCAGGGAGCCCACCCCAGACCAGCCAGAGAGCCCACCCCATACCAGTCAGGGAGCCCAACCCAGACCAGTCATAGAGCCCGCCCCAGACCAGTCAGGGAGCCCACCCCAGAGCTCACCCCAGACCAGGCAGAGAGCCCACCCCAGACCAGACAGGGAGCGCACCCCAGACCAGACAGGGAGCGCACCCCAGGACAGACAGGGAGCCCACCCCAGACCAGCCAGGGAGCCCACCGCAGACCTGCCAGGAGCCCACCGCAAACCTGCCAGGGATCCCACCCTAGACAAGTAAGGGAGTCCACCCCAGACAGTCTGGAAACCACCGCCCTGAATTCACAAAGTCCATTACATGTTGTGCCTTTCAAGTGTTTGGCTTTTACTTGTGTAATCTGTCCATCGTAGGACAACACTCATACAATAGTCCAACAGTCTGAAAAAAGTTTTTTATCTTAGTAAATTTCTTGAGGGAGAATGTTGATAAACATTTCGGTCCCAAGTGGAGGAGCTGCAGGAGGGCCACCATATTTCCTCTGACCATTTACCTGGACGAGATCAATAATACAGTTTTCCATCCACTCCAGAAGGGAAGATTTATTGTCTTTATTCAGAGAATTCATCCAAGCCTCGCTCTCAGCGTTCATCACGTTGTTGTCCATCATTGGTGAATGATCTGCTCTCTCCAAAGGATCAGAGCCTGAACTGAGCTCTTCTCCATGCCCTGACCATGAGAAGCAGACAAAATCCCTAGTCTCCTCCATGGGCCATAATCAGTGGTTAGAAGGCTAGCCCCTAGTCCCCTCTAAAAGCTCCTGTCCTGTTTGGGTCTGTTGGGTTGGGTCTATTTTTTAACTTCCACATTTATAACATTTGTGCCAAAACATATGATGCCTGAATACTTTAATGTGACCTCCTTGCTTTGTCCTACACATTGTACATGTTATACCTGTCATTTGTATTTTGCTTTGCATTTTGATAGCTGGTAATTGCTTTGTATTTTGATAGCCGGTATTTGTTTTGTATTACACAACAGGAGCAGGTGTCATTATTTATGTAATCTGCAATTGTTAAATACTGGACATTGTAACCATGTATTGTTTTCTTTGATTACAATTTCATTCATATGTTGATCACAGGTGTGACCTTTGATTTGCACATGACATCAATTAAGTAAAAAGTAAGAGATTAAGTAAAATTAAATTAAATGTATTCCTTTTTAAGGCTGCATTAACCTTTAGTTAACCATAATGAGGCCTAATTAACTTCTTCCTCCCCTTCTCCCCTTAGCAATTATTTATCTGCTGATTTTTATATTTTTTATTATCTATCTATCTATCTATCTATCTATCATCTATCTATATATATTTTTTTGTTTTATTACAAATAATAATATAATTATATATATATATATATATATATATATATATATATATATATACATACACACACACACACACACATACACACATACATACATGCAGTGTGCATAGATAGATAGATATAAATCAAATCAAATCTGTCTGGACAGTGCTGATTGGCCCTGTGCTGATCACATGCAGAGAAAAATAAATCTCTCTAGCAATACACGCCAAACTGTGCATGTGCAGAGTGTCTCCACACGATATGTCTTATCAGGAGGTAAGAGGGGGACACCAGAAGAAGGGGAGGATCAGAGAAGACAGGATCGAACAGCCTTTTTACACAATGCAGAGGATTAACCCCTTAGGTTCCGCAGGGAGTATAACAAGCATGCTTTCCTGCATCTACAGACTGATTGTACTGTTGTAGCGTTTTCAGTTCCTGGTGTTCAGATACATTTTCGTTATCAGCGATAAGAGTTGATATCCATTGTGTTGAATATTCGGCAGATCTTCTATCTTACAGCCACAGAGTGTTCCCGGGATATATATACAGTTGCAAGAAAAAGTATGTGAACCCCTTGGGATTACGTGGAGTTTTGCATGAATTGGGCATAAAATGTGCTCTGAACGGCATCTAAGTCACAACAATAGAAGAACACAGTCTGCTGAACATAATACTACACAAATATTAGATGTTGCCATGGTTTAATTGCACATAACATGTAAACATTCACAGTGCAGGGAGGAAAAAGTATGTGAAGCCCTAGCTTAATGACTTCTCCCAGAGATAATTGGAGCCAGGAGTGAGCCAACTTTGACTCCAATCAGTGTGATGATATTGGATGTGTTGCTGACAGCTGTCCTGCCCTTAAAAAACACACACCTGTTTTGGGTTTACTGGTTTCAAGAAGCACTGTCTGATGTGAACCATGCCTCGCAGAAAAGAGCTATCAGAAGACCTACGATCAAGAATTGCTGACTTGCATGAAGCTGGAAAGGGTTACAAAAGTATCTCCAAAAGCCTTGATGTTCATTTGTCCACGGTAAGACAGACTGTCTACAAATGGAGAAAGTTTAGCACTGTTGCTACTCTCCCTAGGCGTGGTCGTCCTGTAAAAATGACTGCAAGAGCACAGCGCAGAATGCTGCATGAGGTAAAGAAGAATCCCAGAGTGTCAGCTAAAGACCTACAGAAATCTCTGGCACATACTAACATTTTTGTTGACACATCTACAATAAGGAAAACATTAAACAAGAATGGAGTACATGGGAGGACACCACGGAGGAAGCCATTGCTGTCCAAAAAGAATATTGCAGTACGTTTGAAGTTTGCAAAAGAGCACCTGGATGTTCCACAGCACTACTGGCAAAATATACTGTGGACAGATGAAACCAAGATTGAGTTGTTTGGGAAGAACACACAACACTATGCGTGGAGAAAAAAAGGCACAGCACACCAACATCAAAACCTCATCCCCACTGTGAAACATGGCGGAGGGAGCATCATGGTTTGGGGCTGCTTTGCTGCCTCAGGGCCTGGACGGATTGTTGTCATTGATGGGAAAATGAATTCCAGAGTTTATCAAGACATTTTGCAGGAAAACGTACGACCATCTGTCCGCCAACTGAAGCTCTGCAGAGGATGGGTGAGGCAACAGGACAATGACCCAAAGCATACAAGTAATTCAACAAACCAATGGCTGCAACAGCACAGAATACGCCTTCTGGAGTGGCCCAGTCAGAGTCCTGACCTCAACCCGATTGAAATGCTGTGGCATGACCTTAAGAGAGCGATTCACACCAGACATCCCAAGAATATTGCTACACTGAAACAGTTTTTGTGAAGAGGAGTGGTCCAAAATGACTCCAGATCGTTGTGCAGGTCTGATCTGCAACTACAGGAAACGTTTGGTTGAGGTTATTGCTGCCAAAGGAGGGTCAACCAGTTATTAAGTCCAAAGGTTCACATACTTTTTCCTCCCTGCACTGTGAATGTTTACATGTTATGTGCAATTAAACCATGGCAACATCTAATGTTTGTGTAGTATTATGTTCAGCAGACTGTGTTCTTCTATTGTTGTGACTTAGATGACGTTCAGAGCACATTTTATGCCCAATTCATGCAAAACTCCACGTAATCCCAAGGGGTTCACATACTTTTTCTTGCAACTGTATATATATATATATATATATATATATATATATATATATATATATATATATATATATATATATGGAAGACACGTTCCTTTGTTTCCACCGAATCCCCAGCCTTTTCTATCTGGTAGACAGTGTGTTCTGTCACTCGCCTTCTCCAGCCCGGAGGCTAGAACAGCGCGCAGTGTGCAGACTCTCAATTCCAGCTTCCTCTAGAGTTCTTCTCCCCCTTCTGTCTCCTTCTCTCCTCCTGTGATATTGTCTGCTCCAAAGTTTATTTCACCCCGCTGTCTGCAAAGCTCACAACATCCATTGTTCCTGATGATGGGACTTATGAATAAATTCCCCACTGCTTGCATTAGTCTATGTGAGATCAACAAAAAAGAAAAAAAAAAAAAAAAACGTCATTATAGGAACAATGCAGACACAACGAGTGC